TAACGTATCAGACACTCTGTTGTAGGTTTCGGGTGCAGTCTTGAAGAGTTCTCGCTATGGAAATCAGAGCGGTGTCATCTGCAAATTGGCTACAGGTGGTGCCGGGATTCTCACATGCATGTGGAAGGTCTATGGTGTAGACGAGGAATAGAAGCGGCCCACGAACAGATCCCTGAGGGACGCCGGCAGGGATCTCGAGGAAAGGCGATAGGTCGCCATCCACCTGGACCCTCTGCCTACGCCCCAACAGGTACCGTCGGAACCACTCCAGGGCGTTGCCCTGGACACCATAGTGGGAGAGTTTTGCTAGAAGGCCTACATGCCACACACGATCGAAGGCCTTGCTCAGATCGAAAAAGGAGGTATTGACGTTTTTACCGTCGTCTCTCGCAGTGGAGAGGGTATGGACGAGACGGGCAAGCTGCTGCTCAGTGCCGTCGTTCTCACGGAATCCAGACTGCTGGTTGGGTAGGTGGGGTGTGATGTGCTTGTAGAGGAGTTGATGTGCAATTTAAAAAATTGTTCTTGTAATTTTTGATGTAGTGCTCAAGAGAGAGATGGGTCTGTAGTTTGTGGGTTGGGTTGGGTCACCAGGCTTGGGTACTGGAGTAATGGTGGCATCTTTCCACTCCTGTGGGATTTCTCCGGTTTGGAACGATAGATTAAAGAGGGACGATAGCGGCGGTGCAAGTTCCTTAGCCGCTTCTTTGAGTAGGCGGTTTGGAATAGAGTCGAACCCGGGGCTTTTGTTGGTATCAACTCCGCGGAGGAGTTTTTCGAACTCAGCTTGGGAAGTCGAGATTTCTTGAAGGGGACTGAGGATGTCAGGGGTGGTGTTGATGGCTGGGGTTTGCTCATCCGCATTGGCCACGGACAGCTTGCTCTGTGAAATGAAGAATTCGTTGAGGGCAGCGGCTTTTTGTGCTGGTGTCGTTGCAGTGGTTGCTGGGCTGACGAGTTCGGGTATGCGTTGTTTTGTAGCTGTAGTTAGGTGCTTCATGAGGCGGTGTAGGGAAGTAGAGGAGGCTATTGAGTTGTTTACGAAATCCGATTTTGCACGACGCAGGAGGGTGGTGACACGGTTTCTTTGGGCAGTGAATGTGTTCCAGTCGTCGGGCGAGCGTAAGTGAAGGTATATTCTGTGTTTTCTGTGCTTATCCTTGATCTCTTTCAAGAGGCCCTTTGATATCCATGGTTGTGCTGGCACGTTCTTCCTGTCCCAAGGGGGGGGGGTGAGTGCGAGTAACTTGGCAGTGTTCTTGGGCGATGCTCAGGACATTGTCGCGCCAGGATCGCCAGAAGGTGTCAACTGGGCATGGGTCGTGTTGGTTTGGATGGTGGTTGAGATTTGTGCATGAAAGGGCTTCTCGAAGAAGGTGGATAGTGCTGTCTGTCCATGACCAGAATGTGGTGCTTCTGGATCGTGGAGGGGAGTTGTTAATTATGGGGGGCAGTTGATTACTGATGTGGCCACTGATAGTAGTGTGATCGGATGCGCCAAATTGTGGAAGTGATTGGATGTGAACATTATTGCTGTGGAGTGAGGAGATAACAAGGTCTAGACATGAGAGAGGTGTTTTTCGGCGGATGTAAGTAGGGAATCTGACATGTTGTGTGAGGCCGTATGTGTGTAGAATAGTTTGTATGTCGTCCCCAAGGCGATCTGTTCTGTCTGTGGTGAGCCACGCACTGTTCTTGGCATTGAAATTATGGGCTAAAGATAATGAATTATAGGCGAAAAATGAAAAAGAAGAGAGCGGGGTGGTACAGCCGTTTTCCTATTCTGAGTTCCCTGACTGAAGCTGAGGCATTAGCTGGATCCATGCAACTATCACACAGCAGCACCGTAGCAAGAGAGCTACTTCCGTCAACATCAGTGGACGTTGACTAACTAGACTATGAGTGGATGTGACAGCAAAAGTGACTGTGTGGAGGAGGCGTGGTCGTGCGGGTGTGGCATTGATGACAGCAAAATTAATGGAATAATGGCTGCTACGTTTCATGGAGCAAGTGTATGGAGATGACTGACCTCTTGAAAACACTGCATTTGGGGATGGTTCGAATATCGCTGGGTAGTGGCAACAGAGAACCTAGCCTGACCAGCGCCGCTTGCAGCGGATGGTACGTGCGCTCCGATGTCCTTCTACAAGCGGGTACGGCAACCTGGTGACTTTGAAATCAGTGCGTAACTGAGCAGGCTTCCCGTAAAGCCGTGGATGCATCGCCCGGTGAACAATTGCACCTTTTGTTTGTCCAGCTCTGTGATTCGGCAGAGTTCTTCACATTGCTCAGCAGATCTACAGTCCGACTGCGCCCACCCCTGCAATGCAATCTTCATTAGTATCATGACTATTTCCAACGCAGATCCCTATGATTGTATGTATATAATTGACTGTCACCACCAGGACTCGAACCAGGGAACTTCGCTTGTAGCCAGCGATGCTCTAACCACTGAGCTATGGTGTAGTCATCATCCCAGCAGAGGCCGTTCAACATTTTC